AGACCGCTTATTTAACTTGCATCTGTAGAATTTCTTTCCATACAAAACTGTTATTTTAGTAGATTTCTTTACCTCTTTCATGCAGGTAGTATGTGGTGACTAATTTACTGCTAGCGATTCAATGCTGTTTAATGACATTACACAAGGCCCGTCTGTATGTATTACTAGCAACCTAGTTTAGTAGTTTTAAATAAATTAAACAACATTTGCACTAGTATTGATCATGAACAGATCAGTCATTTAACTTTAGGTACTTCTGTAATGGTAATACATGATTGATCGTTTGAATTTCCATTTATTTTTGTCAATTACAAATACCTTACAGATTTTAAAGTCAAAACTATCCGAAACGAGAGAGAATATGATCGCCAGGTCTCTTTTAAGATGCTCTCAGAGGGATTTGTGAGAGCTCGTTAAATACTATCTTATTCTGGCATTTCGGATTCGATAGTTATTTGATAAAACGTTAAGCCTGTTCACAAGTATGGCACTGTTAAAAACTCCTGTTGGATGAGTAAAGGAAACATTGTAAAATAGCGTGTACTTTGTTGAATTATTAGTATAAAATATTTCCCACGGAACAAACCCTATGTAGTATGTTTAATATTAAAAATAGAAGTGAATAACTGCTAAGTGACTTTACTATGTATAAATGCCTTAAAATCTAAGAGAAAACTAGGTCACCTACCTAGCATATTTAGACACAAATCTATATTTATATTTGCATTTGGTTTCGGGAGTCAAGTATTAGTGCTAATCGGGCGTAGCTGACAATCGTATCGTATTATGAGGTCTCGCTCAAAGGAATTGTAAACAAAACTGTCGACTCTGTTGGACGACAGCCAGCGATGCCCTCTGTGGACGGAAAACAACGCGACAAGTTGGCCATCGGCGTCGATGCGCTCTGTGGACAGAAAACAACGCGACGTAAGTTGGCCATCGGCGGCGATGCGCTCTGTGGACGAAAAACAACGAGACATAAGTTAGCCATCGGCGGCGATGCGCTCTGTGGACGAAAAACAACGCGAATAGTTAGTAATCGGCATCGATGCGCTCTGTGGATGGAAAACAACGAAACATAAGTTGGCCATCGGCGTCGATGCCCTCTGTGGAGGAAAACAATGTGACAATTTGGGCATCGGCGTCGATGCGCTCTGTGGACGGAAAACAACGCGACATAAGTTGGCCATCGGCATCGATGCGCTCTGTGGAAGGAAAACAACGCGACATAAGTTGGCCATCGGCGGCGATGCGCTCTGTGGACGGAAAACAACGCGACATAAGTTGGCCATCGGTGGCGATGCGCTTTGTGGACGGAAAACAACGCGAATAGTTTGTAATCGGCGTGGAATCGCTCTAAAGATTGAAAACAACGAAACATAAGTTGGCCATCGGCGTCGATGCGCTCTGTGGACGGAAAACAACGTGACATAAGTTGGCAATCGCCGCCGATGCGCTCTGTGGACGGAAACAATGCGACAAGTTGGCCATCGGTGTCGATGCGCTAGTTGGGACTGAAAATAGTAAGGTTATTGGCACTTGGCAGTATTGTCTGCGTCAAGAGAAAAATACTAAACATGGGGCTATAGTTGAAATTTCTGTCTGTGAATAATTATAAACCTTGCTTTCCACTGTTTTGATCCTATCTGTGGAAACATAGAAACTGTTGAGGTCGATCCGTGGAATCAAAGAAGCCATCGTGGGGAGTTTTAACCTATTAAAGTCAGGTGGAAATATAGGAACTCATGCGGAGACCTTTAACAATCTTTTTTATCATCGATAAGGAAAGTGAAATGTTTGAGTTAATTTCTTTTCTAATTTAAAAAGAACATACGATGTGTCAGTGTACTGTTGTATAGTTACTACGATTGCCCAACAGCTTTACCTTGTTGTTCTGAGCATCATAGTACCGACAGTTTAGTTTTTAATTATTTTTGTATTGATCTATCTAATAAGGATTTAGTCAGATCTAAAAGTACGGGTAATAATAAAGCACGTCAAGTCTGTGTATAGTGTATGCATTTCACCATACTGCCGATTTTCTTTGTTAACAGTCAACTTAGTATATCAACCCATGCTCACCAGGCCAAGAGAGTGATGTCCGTTTGTTAGAGAGTTAGACCGAGTTAACGCATCAACACAAGTTTCACTGTGAACTGGTAATTGCTAACAAGTTTGCGGAGCTGTTTGTTACTCCGCTCCCTCTTGCGTGGATGTTAAGTTTTGACATTGTACAATCCAATGTTAACATTACCAGAGAGTAATGTCTAGGGAGACGGCATTTACTTATATGTACGGGTATATATGAGTTTTTTTATTTACTACGCCAATGGAATTTTAAGCATCAATCAAGTTAGATTAATCGATTAAAAGGTAAAGTGGTCCAAATCCATTAAAGTGTTGTGTATATGCCGGGATGCTAAGCACTAGGCTAGCAACACATCCAATTCAATGGCTCTTCTACGTTCTTTGTACAATAAATTCAATAATTTAATTAGTTTTTAACCATCCATGAGCGTAAAAAAGACAAATATATATTTGGGAAAATCCAACATGTATCACTAGTAAAAAATAAAAAAATAACAGTTGGTTATAACAAAATCATTAGTTGCCTTGCCATAAAAAAATTGTTTCAATGTACAGATCAATTTTCAAATTTTTATCTCATGGATATCTGTATGGATGCTTATACAGAATGTTGAAGTTAAATGAACTCTATGTCATTATTTCATCTATGAACAATTGTGAGAATGGATAAGAATAAAGACTAAATTCACGTTGTACCTATAAATACCTCGAGGCTGAAACGTTTAAGGCTTTAGAGGCCATAACATTTTTCATATCGCTACTAAAAATGGTTAGTAAGATATAAAGTAGTGATGTTTTGTTATCTTTACGTTTTAAGGAAGTACCTTCAAAGCTTACAACCGTGCTAGGTGGTAATGCAAACGCATTTCAGCAAACTCTAATTTTATTTATATAGATGTACTCTATAACCCTGTAAGGTACTGTATTATCTATTGATCAAATTAACACAAGTATTGATGGAGGAACATTTGCTATTCAATAGTATAAGTATACTGTTTTTAATTGGTCTAGGAGGGAGGTAGAATATATATAGCAAGTTTATGGCAAGGAGGAAATTAAAAATGTACCACCTCATTCACAAGGTGATGCCCCGCCTTAGGGGTGTGTCAACAGTCCCACGCAGTCAAAGGTGGCCAAAACATGAGGTGAAAATAAGGTCGTCCTCAAAATAAACCTTCATGATGAATAAAAATACTGCGTTAATAGTATATATTTTTAGAAAATCCACAGAGTAAATTAAGTTTGTATGCAATCAAAAATTCCTTTGAAGTAAAGAAATAATTAATTCAGGCCGTGGGCAGTTTTAATTATTTTATATACTAGCTGTCATCTGAAACATTTTTTTTCTAAATCAAGTGATAGAATAGTTATTTGTGGAAAATAATGTCATTCTTTCAATACAATGGTGTACAAACAAAAAATCGTAAACAGTTTCTAAAAATAAGGCGAACATGTACAAAAAAGCAAAATGTTCAGCATAGTAGTAGGTAAAGTAAAATGCTGAAGAATTAGCTGTTTTGAAAACTAAATAAGTGTACAAAATCACATGTTTTTTTAAAAAAAACTAGAAGAAACACCACTTTGTATGACAATATAGACAATAATAATTTACTACCACCGTAATAAGACGATATGTAAAATATTGTGAAAACTCATCCCTATATACGGAGTAAACCCGAGTTTTCCATTTTCCATCCACAACCACGCAGCAGACTTTACGAATCCGTCGTCTGTAATGAGCAGTTAAGTCAGCCGTGCCCTCAACTTCCGCAACTAAGGACTAAAACTCTCATTAGCCTTTATCAGACTCCTTTGGTGACATTCACTGACATTAGCCGCTCCTCGTTACATCAGGGGACAAAGAGATTTATTGTTACTATCGCAGAGCTGATTTCTTTTGTTGAAAGATGAACAATTAGGTAGATTGTGATGAGATTATGAACGTCAGCAGCAGTTACAACTAGTATAATATGTACAATGAATATGCTCATAGTAAAAAGGAAAAACGAAAAAAAACTCAGTGAACATGAAAATTCAAATATGAGATCATGTGGAGAGCTCGATATTATCATGCACTGCATGAGGATCTTTTTGTTTTCAAATTTTCACGTGAATATTTTGAAACTTTTAATTAAAAATGATTGATTTCTATACCTAGGAGTACGCTCTGAAGTCACGTATGAGAATGAACAAAGACATTTTTATACATACGAGGGCTATTCTCATTGTATCAATTTTTTTGCTAAATTTAAAGTTGGTGCAATTTGTTCTTATATTACAGTTTTCTTTTCAACACACTTTATATTTGTTAAATTCACAAACGGGGCCAATTTATTCTCATGATAACTACTATTTTTAAATTGTTTTGTTAGAATGACATTTAAAATACTCACGACCGTCACTCTTTTCTTAAATTTTATTAATTTCATAATAATAAATGATTATGACTTCAAATGAAGAAAAATGTATGATATGAATACATAGTATTACTTACCAGGAGTATAAATTGAAATTATTTATGGGAACGTTGATTTTTTTTTAGACTTTGTGTGTAATTTTGAATTGGACCGAAAATGAACTATAGTTTTTTTAAATGGCAGGTTTCCAGGTATGTATATTATTTGTATATTAAGTTCTGTGAGTAAAATATCAGTTTAAACTTAAAACCCATGGTCATAAACTTTTTTTATTTCTATAACTAATTATTAAAAAAATAAAATATGATGCGTGACGGTTGTGAACTGCGTGTGACGGTTGTGAGCTGTGTGTGACGGTCGTGAAAATATCAAGACATTATCAGCTCAACAAATTTTACATATGACTAAAAAGCATAAAAATGGTTTAAAAAAATAAAAAACAACATATACCAAAATTGAAAACTGTTTTAATTTAAACTTGCTTTATTTGTAGGTACATCAACATTTCAATAAACATTAGATGTTTTTGCCAAGTCTTGAAAAATATAAATGCCTCGATGCATTTTAAAGTTTGTCAGCGTTTGAATAATGTCTTTAATGTTTACCGATGCAATGTCATCATTTTGAGGAAAAACAAATTTTTCTCCAACTGTTTTTCTGAGAAACTTGACCTCATAGTCACCATCTTTATATTTTTGAATAACCTCGCCAATGTAAAATTTCACGATCTTGTTTAATGGAAACCGCACAAGGACAAAGTCACCGGTGGAGAGATCATTAACTTCATCTGAAGGTAATTCGCAAGGCGTAACCACCGATGGATTTTGGACAGTTTCATTGTGATCGTCGTCATCTGAATATACATCATGATAGCTGAGCCTCTCTCGTCTGCAAGTTGCAATAGAAGTTTCTGTCCGTGGAATACCTACAACTTAAGTTAAGGAAAACCTAAAATTGCATCAAATATTTTAACAATTTGAACAAGGTTTTAAATTAGTTTTACTGTTATCGGAGTTAGAAAACCCATAGCAACCAAGTTACTAAAAAATATAAATCTTAGCAAAGCGTGAATACAAAATTGTTTGTCCAACCTTTAGTTAATTGTTAAATATTTTAGTATATTTTCAAAACAACAAAATTTAAACCAATCAAATTATGTAAGAACCATAAGATAATATAATATTCATAAGAAAAGTATTTTAATAAAAGGATACTGGTAGAAGGCGCAGAATCGGCAGCTTCAGTTATTAGGCTATGGTAGCTCGTCATTTGGTGAGGGCACTTTGATTTATTTCTACAAATTATGCAGGACAAAAACCTACAATCTAATCCAGTTCCATCTGGGGAATTCCAAACAATTTGATGCAACTTCAATGTGTCTTTAATGGCCCGTAAATGAACTAACTTAGGTTTCAAAATAGAATCAACACTCTTCATTTTGGCCTCATCTACTTCCAAAACTTGTATTTTTAAGTTGCTTACAGCGGTCATGAACTGTTCTAAATTTGACACATCTTTTCCCATATTAACTGCTGAGTCCGCGGTTCTCTTTATAGTTCCGCCAACTCCGTCTGCAACACTTTTGCCGTGACCAGCCTCACTAAAATTGTACGAAGCTTTTTCGAACCCGAAGTGCTCCATATAATAACTGAACAAGTACATATTACTTTTGTTCCTGTATTGTTTAGTCGGCCCATCACTAATAATGTGCACTCTGCTTACATTCTCATAATTTTGTTTTATTTCCATAAATATTGGATAAAGGTGAGCCCATATAGCTGCTGCGTCATGTCTATTACATGAAGATACTGTACAAAATGTTCTTACTTTCATTATTGATTTGTCGTTGGATGTGACTTTAACAAAGTAAGCTCCAGTGTGTAGTGTAAGTTGTTCATTAGAGGCGCCAAAATGACGACTCTGGACCTCGCTAGAGTACTTCAACTGGTAATTTTCTGAAAAATCAAATACAACAAAAACTTCGTCATCATTTAAGTTTGTTCTACAGTACTTAGAAAACTTGTTCTGATTGTAAACTCTAAACTTATGAGTCATGAATAAAAGGATCTGAGAACATAATTTCTCTTTCAACTCTTCTAGTGTACAAAATATTTTAACTTTTCTCGTAACTTTTACCATCCTTTTTACCCCATTTTTCACACGCTCCTCTGTAACATTTTTCCACTCAAAATGATGGATTTTAGAGTCCCACTCAGTATCACAGTTTTCATTGAAGGCAATTTTTGTTGACTTGCACGTATCACATTCTCTATATACACAAGTTTTATTAGTTACACTGCAACAAATACTACTAACAAGATCATTCATATTGGAGTGATTTATCAGTTTGTACTGTTTACATTTCTGAAACAGGAAGAAAAAGTTTTCGTGATACTTGCACATGCAGGTGTCTCTCTTGTTGGCAGGTCTTTGAATTACCCAAAAAGGCTTGAAGCGACAAAAATGTGGATATGATATCTGAATATGTTTTGTAGATACAAACTTTTTGTGCAAAACCTGTAAGGTTTCTGATAAATATCTTATCTGCTTTTTTATTTTCTTCTTTGTAATAGTGTCCTTTCGACCTGGTGTACAATATGAATTTTCATCGTCCGTAAGAAAAGTATGGACTTCTTTTTTGAGATTAGGTTTAGGCTGTTTCTTTTCTTGTTTTTTTGTCAACACTGTTGATTTATCTGTTTTCTTCTGACTGTTTTCATTTTTCAGTAATCTAGTATGTTTCTTTTTCCATTTTTCGGCAATTTTACATTGGTCCTTAAGTTTCTTTTCCAATTTTTCAATCTTCTTTCTGTACTTTTCCCTACTTTTTCGAAGTCTCTTTTTTCTTTGAACTCTTTGAACTTGAGGTTCATTCAATGCCTCAGAAATTGGAGAATTTGGAGGTGAATTTTCATCCATAACACTTGTCAAATGTTGCTGTTGACGCTTCTTTAAGGCATGCTTATGGTATCGCTTTCTCCACTCCGCTCTTTGTTTTCTTTTTCCTCTTTCGCTTAAATCATTTATACTTTTTATTTGTTTCAATGCCCTTCGTTTTCGACTTCGTTCTCTTTCCTTTTCCTTCATCATTTCATATTTTTCCGGATTTTCGCGGATCCTTAATCGTTCCTTTCTTTTTCTTTCTGCTGCAGCTTTTCTTTTGCTTTCGCTTGTAGGGTTCGCCTTTTTTTGCTTACCATTTTTTTTACACTTTTGACTATCCATTGTCTTGTTACTGTACGTTATTATTCCTGCGAAAACCAATAAAATTTCAAAATTGATTCAAAAATTGATCTTTATAATAAAAACTTTTTAATTTATACATTTTTTATTTTTAGTTTATTGTAATGTCCTGCGAAAACCAATAAAATTTCAAAATTGATGCAAAAATTTATCTTTATAATAAAAACTTTTTAATTTTTTAATTTATACATTTTTTATTTTTAGTTTATTGTAATGGGTCAGTAAATTACGTAGAGAATTTCACTTAGAGTAAAAAAAAAACTATCCATACTCACTTTGAATGGAATCCTTCAAAATTTACAAACAATACACTTTACTACTTTTACATAAAAATAGAATTGGGTTTAGTTTATACGTTTTCTGCAATGGAGATGTTTGATGTCAAAGCTAAGTGATTAAAAAACCAAACTCGCAAAATCAAATAAGGTTTACCCATTTTTTGATTACGGTACCTCTGATGCATTCAATGTTATTTGTAGTTGCCTTAATTTTAACATTAAATTAAAGTTAATAAAAATTGAAAATTAAACTTCTAACGGATCTAATATTATGTATAGTATGGTTTCATAAAATAAATAAATGTATTATGAATGTATTTACATTCCAACACTCACATCCGTCACACTACACTCACGACCGTCGCATAATGGGTGTGACGGTCGTGTGACGGTTGTGAGTGTGACGGTCATGAGGACGCTGCAATAATTCAATATTTATAGCTAAAAATGGACCTAACCTGAATCGCCATTTTGACAGATCAGTTGTGCACATCTGAAAACAATGAAATATCGAGCCCAGCTGATTCAATTCAGAATAATGCATTCGTAAACAGTGTGACGGTTGTTAGGAATAGAAAGTACAGAGAAGCAAACTTACCTTTATGATGTTAACTGATAAATAATTCATTAATAATGAGGTTTTAAAACACATCACAAATTATGGCGACACTCCACAACACAACTGAAGGCAACTGCAAACTACCACTAGCGCTTCTGGTGGTTTATTTTTAACTAACTAGTAACTGTGACGGTTGTGAGATCAAACTGAGGGACAAGAGAAAACAGACGTTTTTCAGAATAACTTGGTAGTATTAAAATCTTGTAACCATGACTGTTTGTTTTTAAATATATTTGTCATGCATTCCTAGTAATAAATGCGTAAATTATAGAGTAAGTACTTCAATAAGTTCATTGACATTTCAAACTATTTGATAGGGACACGTGACGGTCATGAGTTTATAAGCCTTTTTAGGCCAGTACAAAGTGAAATTAAATATATATTCATAAATAGATAATACTAGTAAACTTAAACGGGTTTTTAAAGCATTTATACACTAAAAATGTTGATTTTGATGTATTATTTCCAAGTTAAGTCGAGCTGGACAGCGAAAAATTACTGTGATGAGAACAGCCCACGAATATGTTATTTAACTGTAGGCCTAACCACATTCATGTCAGTGCATGAGGATATCTTAGTTTTCAGATGGTCACGTGAATATATTTAGACTTTTAATTGAAAAGGATTAATTTCTATAATTAGAATCCACCTCAAATGATTCAATATTGTATTGTTCTTTCTCTCTATAACATTGCCCGAGTTAGTTAGCAAAACAAGCATCACAGTGGAGTGTACAGTCTATTTGCTTTCCAGAACCCACAAACCTTGTGCACTATGGTTATAACCAACCCGCTTAGAACTCTTGTTCTGCAGCTGATCTTTGCCCGATATACTGCTAGATTTAGTATTTCTAAAGTTAAGGTTGATTTATAAAAATACATTTCAGTTGTGTTATCGTTATTTGTATCTTTATACTAATTCGTTCTTAAACATAGTTAAAAAATTAAATTTTGTATACTATTCTTATCCTGGTCTCCCGATCAATTTGTAAACATTAAAACGATTATAAAATTAACTAGAGACTTTGGGTTTAGTATAACTACCCCGTTTGACTTCATAAGTATTAATAAAACTATTGATTAGTTAGGTTGAGCTGAAATAAACAAAACAGAATACAGTAATACAAACAAATAACCACACCTGATTTTAATAAGGTATTAAATTGTAAGCATAACAAACAAATAAGTACAGCTGAGGTATTTTTATTAACATTACGTATAATGAAAGTTCCCTTTAGAAAGGAATTGCGACCTTAAAGGACTATTTATGAAATAATGGATTGGTTTGCGTAAGGTTTCTTGTCATGACGAACATTTTAAGTATATGGTTTATGGGGGTCTGACTTGTAGTTTCTTAAAAGCTAATGGGTACTTTGGGCTTTATGGATGTCGTTTCCTAAAATTAGAAGTTTGGTATTACAAAATCATTAACTGTTATGTGTAATTAATTATTGTAAGTGCATATTTTAATAGTGTTTAAATATACAGTATATTAACTACTGAATGTAATTCCAAAATTCCTGGATCAACTATATTATTGGCATATCGGGTGAGCCCTATAAAATATTGATTAAAGGTATATTTCGTTTTGAAAATAACATCTGTACATATAATTCATATTGTTAAGTTTAAGTTCTTTTACAAATCCACTTTTATTTTCACCCTACTGACCTACTGAAGTACTGTGTTTATCACTAGAGATGAAAGACTAGTGCATGGAACAAAAATAAACGAGAGTGCATTGGAGAAAAGAGGCGATCGTGCAGATGTAGCGGGTTCGTTAACCCACACGTGAGTTAGAGCTTTCGTATTATGCATATTACTAAGCGTATAATTTCAGTTAGCAAACAATTGAAATATCCCTTTCCAGGGAGAGATTTGAAAAGTGTCATCTATTTAAAAGTTACTAAAAATAAAAAAAAAATTATCTAATTTTTTCTAAGCACTGCATCACCAAGGCTTTGGGGTCAAGCTATGCACTTAAACATACCTTTGACTATTCCCCATGTTAAATTTGTTGCCAGTTTTTTAAACCCAAACCGCCGTAGTTGATGTGAGCCACATACAGATTGTGCTGATATCTGTCGTATACACAATCTTTTTTTACCAATTCAAACTAATGGGAAGGCTTATTTTGAGCTATAGCAACTGTTATGACCCATCAACTTGGCCAGCAACAAAAAATAAGGTGGAAAATAGAGTTTTAGTCACTAGCGCATTCTGTGACTGGCTTACACAACTATAAATAATAGCAAAACGATATTTTGATATAATAGCAAAAGATTGGCTACAGCAGGTCCATATAGATGGGGTGTCTACTTCAGTATCCAATAGTCAATGGTAATACTAACCAACGGAAAATGATCTGTGTATGACTTAATGCCCGAGTTTCAGCCTAGTCACATGACCAACCAAGACTGTCCGCACATTTCCGCATTTCCCTGAGTCGGTGAAGAGGCGCATCGGCAGAACCCTGGATACAGTGAATTTTGCCTGGATGTTTAGTTTAACATAGTTCAATCCTTACGTTTCCTTAATGGCCAATATTTTCTGAGCTTTACCAAAATGATCAATTATGATTTAATCATTAGATTTTTGTACTCTTCCTTCGAACTGAGTTTTGGGCAAATGTAATTACGGTGGACTCTCACAGATTCGTCAGATTTCGGCTGAAAACTTATGGAAATCATAAGGAATGGAAACTTAAAAGCCCCAATTAATTAATTAATTTCTCAAGTCCACTTTTAAAGATTCTGATGCTGACTAACTTTCTTTATAACGGTTTAAATGTAAACAGTTGCATCAGGCGAATCTTTAACCACAGTCAGAATGTAAACAAGAGACAACAAGCTAATCAACGTGGATTTTAAAGGATATTTATTGGTATTGTGACCTGATTGAGATAGATAAATAACTCTTTGTGATATAGATCTACAGTAAAAATATGTTCTATTCATCTATTAGTAGGCTCACTCTCTCGAACAAACACATTTGTAAACAATAAGTGGGTATTTCAATATTCGTTTTGACTCAGAATCGAGTTTCGGGCCCTACTAAGACTTTGCGCACGAGTCAAACTAGTGTTCTTTGTAGTACCTACTGAAGTTAACATTTTAAATGTACATATCGTTGAAATTTGGTATATGGTATAATTATTAAAATGTATTTGTTTTGATAAAACATAAATTTGCGATTATTAGCTTGAAAAGACATAACAACTTTCTCACTTTCTCTTGATATAATAATAAAAAAAAACATAAGCAACCAAAAACACATACACATATGCTCCCATGTTATTCTTAATAATCTCCCATTCATCGTAATTTATAGGCTCAGTCATTTTATCAAATTAAGCTGTTGTTTGTAATATTAATGTTTTTAGTAGAAGAATATCGCCCGTTGATGTGTTAATTTCTTTCACCCACTTAACTGATGTGGATAAAGGTTCCATAGGAGGATTATTATTCATAGTGTATATATTATGAGACAACGCTACAACTAGGTGATCGCTAGTTGTTTGTTTTCAACATATCCAGTAGTGTGTTTCAACTAGAATCCCAACTAAAGTCTGTTGAAAATTTCCCAACTACTGGAGTGTCCGACATGCAAACATTCGGATTATACACGTTCCTCCATACAGTTATTACTTCCAAACCCAATCAATAGCTATTTTACCCTCGAAATGGGCTAAGTAGAGTAGACAACTCCTAGTTTTTCTAGAGCTCGTCGCTCACCAATGTGTATGTATAATTTTACTGTATACTAAATGATTACGCAGATAATCAATGAGATGGCTCTCAGTCAACAATGCAATGAATTGACTCGCGTCAACCGATCCCCTTGAGAAATCAACCTTTTGTATGTTGCTAGGGCTTCTTTTCATTACTTAGGATAATGTATTTCTCGTTTTCTCTCTTTTAATATTTTATCACCGATTTGTTCAGCAAATGCATGAGTATAATGAGTGACAACGACATACAATACATTATCTGAGTGTATACCTCCAGTAAAAACCTACGCGTCGTAAGTATTCGTAAGGATTTCTCAAAGATCATTGCCGCGCTGCGCCGCCGGCAGAATCTTATGTTTAATTCAAGGCCCATCTGAGGAGCGGCCTAGAGGCGTAAACATAGTGAGTGCTTTACTACCTGTGGCTCTCTATATCTACCTTCTTTCTCTTTCCATAGCTTGCTCTTAGTTTAAAGATTGTCTAAGATACACTGATTAAGTATGTTTAGCATATTGCAAGTTGATAAAGCTGAGATAACTTTAAGAATTTAAAAAGCGAGATAACCTTTTTAAGTGATATTTTAGGAAGCAGTTATCTTATAGTGGAATCTGCGATTAATGTTGAACACAGAGTATTTTGACGGTCTTGATTTTAGGTTGGTTTAGTCACAAACACGTTAAAAACAAATTTACCAGTCATAGTTACCCTTAGTTCATAATAGTTTATCCATTCAAGTTTCTATCAACTTTGATATAATACCCGTCTTAAATATCATGTGTAAACTATTTTGTTGTTATGTAAGCGTCGTCAACACCGTGTAATGAGTTAATAAAGTTAATTTTACCCTTGAAATTTAAAGAATTATATTATGTTTAAGCCAAACCAATGTCTTGTTGTACCAACAGTATGAGACGTCGACTTAGACAACACTTTATCCAGTTGGGTAGGAATCTACCTTAATCATTTGAAAATTTTGTTTTTATACTTCTTGTTCTTTTAGAAATGCTTTGATGTGATTAAATAGTGAACAGAGAGAAAATTAATCATCTATTCTTTACAAAGTCATTGATGTATGTTTATGTTCATAATTATATTTTAGATATAGTACAGTAAAACAGTTGAACAAGCACAAACGTAAATAATCATGCAGGAAACAATCAATTTAAACTTTTAGCCTACTATATATTTGATTCCATAAATTATCTGACTGAGTGACAAACCCAGGAACTGTCCGCTTTTGGATTTCGAATCTGATAACTGAGTTTGCAGGTTCTAAAAGCCGAGTTTGCAGCACTCAGTAACTCTAGACTTTCCAACTGCCTGAATG